CTCTGCATGCATTATCAGTAGCAGTCTCGTAGACATGTAATTGATCCAATGACATTCTTGATGTTGATTTGGAAGCTGTTTCTTTTCGAATAACATCTCTTTTTTGAAGTTGAAGAGCTTCTACCACAAGAGTTGGTAATATGAACACAATAAAATCAATCCAGTCTACACTGCGAAAAAAACCGGGCTTTTTGTGGACATCTATTTTTAAAAAAAAAATGGCTTAAGTTAAATAAATTTGTCTTGTATTATGTTTTGACATTTCCTACCCAAGAAAGCTCCGCTAATACTACAGCTGTGCTTGTTTTGTTGGGCCTGTTGCACTTTTGCAGATACAAGCTCTCGATACTTAACGCGAAGGAACAGAGGGTTGCTTGCATCTTGATATTTTTGACCATCATCAGTAATAATTGCCCATATTTTGCCGCCGCCGTTTGCTCCCCAGAAATGCATCTCGTCTAATCCCCAAAAAAATGGGCAGTGGAAGCTATTTAAAAGGGAAAGTGGTGATTTTCGAACGATGCCATTTTTCTAATACAAACAAATTAATGTTTTTTTTTTAAAAAAGAACACTCTAAAAAACTTACTTCGTCTCCTTGAATAAAATCTTCGGGTTTTCTAATTAATTCTGTAGAAATGCCACCTTGTGGAAAGGGATAGCACATACTTGCTTTAACCCGTATAGCTTCGGTTCGACATATGCGACATCCAAAATAAGCTTGATGGCCAATATGACCACAAAGATCAGCACATGCTGGGATATCACCAATAACTACCACGAGAGATGCACTAAGAAGCTTCTGTTCGCCACTACTAAACTTCACTAGCATTCCATTTTTTTCTAATTTTATAAGCTCTTGATATGTTGGAAAAAGAAAACTATGCATATTGTACGGTTTTTTGGGACCTGGTATGATTGTGGTAATCAAGATATTCTTTTTTTTGAATCTGATGGAAAAAACATGTGTGTTAATTTTGTATATTTACGTTGCAAAAGATTAAAGACACTAACCGTAGCTCTGGTGATAGATTTAAAATGACAAATGCTACTACAGTCATGCTTACACCACCCCTTTTAAAAGGATTAAATCCATCAGTATACATCGCCAGATCCAATTTGTAATCACTTGTGGGACACTCTTCATTATGACCGTCCCATTTATCTTTAGCTGTTCCGTCGAAAATATCTTCCAAAAAGGCATAGTTACTACCTGATTTGTTAGAGAAAAAGGCAGTATGTTTTGTCGATTTATAAGAGATGTCCGATCTAAATTGAGGTGTCTTAAGAAGATGCGCCAGCTGCTTAGCAAGAGAAAGTTGCTTAATTTGCGCTTTTGGTCTTCCTGCATCATCATAGCGATCCTCCTGGCATTTAGGATTACTACATGCTCGGCTATTATCGCCTGGGTAAAACATCTGACATCCCTTTAAGCACATGTCATACTTATCTGTTTCAACGGGGCAAAATACAGCAAGTTCTTTCTTGCTCGATCCAAATTGGGTTAAGAGCATTTTGTGACCTGTCAAAATTAGTTGTGTGCTAAATGTCATAATGCGCTTTATTCTAAACCCTTACCAACGCCAATTTCTTCCAAATAGCAATCAACCCATTTTATGATGCGTTCCTTTCCATTTTTAGATGCGCCCGACTTGGCAAGCAACGATTCAAACTCTATGCTTTTCTTTTCAGTATAGCTTAAGTTAGCGAGTTTGTCCTGATCGACAGTGACGTCATCAGGAGCCCTGGCGGAGGTTTTGAAATTTTTAAGATTTAGGAACAGGTTATTATTGTAACCACCATCTTTGGCTCTGATCCATTCTTCTTGAGGCTCTTCCAACTCTTCAAGAGCGTCCGCTCCAACATCGTCAGACTGTGCAGTGAAGTCTTCAGCAGGACCGTCGTTGTCTGCTGCTTAATTAGAGTAAGAAAAGTTTAAAACAATTTAATAATTTTTAAGTATGTACCTTCATACACAAATTCCATAGCATCTCCTTCTGATTCAACGACGCTAACTGCACGAGCGGAACCTTCCATTGGAGAAATAACATTTCGTTCTTTAGAGCACATCAGATTAGTACTTTTAAATCGTTGCAATGAAGCTAAACTCAGTCACCTTGTTCTCTTCTCAGATTCAATTGAGCAATTTTTTGTTTTTTATGGTCTTTTAAATGCTTCTGCAAAGACCTTGGAGTAAGGTATCGTGGGCAAAAACTGCATTTGACTTTCTGTACCATTCTATGTTATTAATGTTTTTTTATAGAACTGATCGATGAGTAAGAAAATAGAGGTGGTATTGAGCTCATGTTTCGGGCCAGATTTTTGGTGACTATTGTTTATTAACATTATTCGAAACTTACTTTTCGTTTGAGCTTACTTTTTCTGTTTCTTTACCTTTCTCTCTAAACGTTACAATGCCTCCCAGACAACAAGGAAAAACACCATCAAACGAAGAGTTGTCCAATGCTTTAAATCAAGTACAAACCCGTATGACAGAAAATCATAATAATGTGATGGACCGACTCGATCGTATGGATGCAGCGATTGCTGACCTGACGAATCTTGTCCGTCAACATGTGGAAAGAGCGACTGCCGTCGAAACGACACCATCATTGCGTGTATATCAAGGTGAAACAATTGGCAATCGCATTCCTAGACCGTCCAATCTCAACGGAAAGACCGGGTTTTTCCAATACTTGCAAGCCCAATTGGCCGAGAATGATCAGCACAATGATTTGTACCTGTGTGTTAACCGTGCAGCTCTGGTAAGTGTACAGAGTATGCGAAATGCACACGGGGAACTGGAATTCGTTGGATGGGGAGGGCTTGGTCATGACTATAAGCTGGAAATGGCTGAGAACACGTTGGAGATTGCATTGCAAGAATACAACGTGTTGGATGTTATTAGACGATGTCACGATCTTTGGCCTTGTCTGATCATTCTACAGACAAATTGGACACAAATGTCTGCCTACCAGAGACGACAAAGGTAATAAATGTGTAATTTATGTGATAATTGAAAAACGTATTAACTAAGTCAACTTTTCTATACTTAAAAGGGATCTTCGACGTGCCAGACTAATGTCACAATAGCTTTGACAGCCTCATCTTCATCGAAACAATTCGTAGTGCCTCTTTCGATGCTTTTTTTTTTTTAATTTCTTTAATAAAATTTTATTATAACTACCAATATACAATATTAATAAAAAAATTTTTATACAGTCTTATTATTCAATATTATACAACATTATTATACGTTATTATTATACGATATTATTATACGATATTATTATACAATATTATTATACGCTATTATTGTACAATATTATTATACGATATTATTGTACAATATTATTATACGATATTATTGTACAATATTTTTCACACAGTATTCACACAACTTTATTGCTCAACCAAAATATATTAATCTTGTTGGAAAATATTGTCCAATAAAAAATGTTTGAAAAAAGCATTTTCCAACAATTAGGTTGCACAATAATTTCCAATAATTTTCACATATTTTTTCTCACCGTGATTTAACCATATTGAAGGTCAGTCTATACAATCTTTATTGGAGGAAATACGACATAGGCGTCTAGCAAGATTGTCGATAATATCATTTGGCGAAATTTGTTGGGTCTCCGACTTAGGTAATTCAGCTTCTTCTAACACGGTTACATGGTGTAGAAGTTGCTTGACTGTTTCGATTTATTTCTTTTTTAGTTCGGACATAGTGGCTAGTTAGACATGAGGACAAGAAAACAAGAACAAGAGAAGAAAAAAGAAAAAGGGTTAAGATGCAATTGTTAAGAGTAACAAGCAGCAAGAAACAGGGTAAAGAGGACCAAGCAGTAAAAATTGGGATTCTAAATAATGTCACGGACAGAACAAGAACAATACACAGTAACTACTTGGCAAAACGAGGGGGGTGATTGTGTCGTATTTGGGTACGATTCACTTAAGAATAATTAAGCAAATCGTTTAAATAAATAAACTATGAAATTAAAACAACCTTTGATGCTTCATATCAGCATACGCTTGTATACTGCTATACAACCTCTCCTACTTCGAATAAATACTTCTATATTAAAGATTGCATGATTGGCCTAAATACGATATACGAATGACAGTTGGATACAGAATGCTATACCGCTGAGTTACGATATCACCGATCGAGAAGAGAAGCTTCTCAGATCAATCAAGAATTATAAGAAAGAGAAACTTAATACTAATAGTTCTCTCAATGGATTAGCTACCCAGAGAGAGAATAGAACAGCTATTCATATAAATGGTTCATTTACTTATATATTGATATAATTATACTGCTTCTAAAGAGTATAAAGAAATAGTGTATCAGTTAATGGATACCTATCTTCTACAACCAAATGTACAAATCGATAAGACATTTTATATTTGGGATCGTATTTTATCCATTACAACGATAATAACTAAATGATCAACTATTATGTTCTATTGCCAATTACGCTTGACAAACAAGTATGCATCTGTAACAGTCACGGTTGCATGATCTGATAAATAAGTGTCTGGTAATACTAAAGATTTATTAGAATACTCATGCTCCCGATCCACTGTTATTGGACAGCGCTAACTAGAAACACTTCTAACGAGTAGTATTCATTTAACCCAAGGCGGGAAACAAAGTATAGATCTATTCCAGAACCAGAAAGATTGACTCATCATTGAAACTCCGGAGAGTTGTTCAATATAAAAAAGAATCAATTATTTCATAACAGCAGAGTTCTTTTAGTCTATTTTTACCTCCACTAAAGATATGCTTTTATCTAACTACTTGCCAATTGTATCAATTTTGTCAAATATCACAAATTAATTATAATAAAGTATGTTTATTTATTAAGAGAGGGAGGGGGTTAGGATTAAGATACAGAATAACGTTTTTCTATAGATAACTAGCATCTATTTATACTATTTCTTATACATGGCAAAACGACAATATATTTAAATCATAGATTAACAAGGTATTTTAAGGAACAGATATCATGAGTAGATTATTGACAAGGATGAGTAATTGAGATTTTCTAGAAATCGGTGAAGATTTATAAATAAAAACAAGAAAATTATCAAACTTGCAAAAATTAAGTACGGCTTTATTAAACAAATAAAACCGAGTCTTCATATACACATTATTCAGACATTTATCACAGATGAGCTGATGACGGTTGTGGGTAGATTTATCCAGATAATACTCGAATGTAATGATCCCATATAGAAAGGCCATAATGAGATGTGAATAACAATAACAATAACATTTATTCTTAAACTGTGTATGTCCTGTATCACAATATTCAGGGGGAAATGTAGGTCTTAATTCAGATAGCTGTGGCACCTCAATGTGGCAGATGTGAGCTTCATATGTTTTCATATCAATGTTATTATTTAAATGTATGTCTTATATTTACTTCTATGAAGGATGCTATGAGATCAAGCCTGTACATAAAGTAAATGATCAGTATTTAATATAAAGTATCAATAGGAATTATACTTAGGATTATCAAATGGAAGATTTAAGAAGTGTAGATCGAGTCATATATTAGGTATATAGCCTCGGTCATGACAGATTTGACGAGTAGTAATAGGCTGAATTTAGTTCACATTAAAAAATATATAGATTTGTGGAATATTTATGGTTTGACACGGGCGGGAAAACTGGATTAGGAATAAAAGTAATAGATGATCGGGAAAAGGTTTACTAAAGTTGAGTCAGACAGGAAGCGGGAGTAATATTGAGAGACAGATTAATGATATGTTTTACGAGGAGTTCGGTGGCGGGCAAGATATACTGATATGATTTTGGTACAAGGTTTTAAAGGGATTTTGGAAGCGGACAAAATATACCGATATTAAGTTCTAGAACGAGGTATTACAAGGGGTTTGAGATCGTGGTTAATTTATGCAGACAATAAACAGGGCGAGTTAGCTCAAGACACTATCCATAAATATAATTCGTAATTACGAGGACTCGATGAGAAGGAAGTTTATAATTAAGGAGGGAAAGTTAGAAGATGTAAGGGTAATATGAAATGGGCTGTTATTGCTAAGTTTATTTGGCTATATTTGACAGGATTTTCTTGCTTCTTTAAATCCCGGGGGGATGCCCAAAACTTGCTGAAGACATCACGTCATGCATTGTTCTTCACTTGACCGCCGAAAAGACAACAGTATACCACCTCAAAAAATGGGAGATGACTTAGCCAGTAAGCTGGCAGCTAGCAGGAACCCAAACAGGGAAAGTGAGTTGAGCGTACGGCGCATTCAGGATACGTCGTCCGACAGGACAAGCACAGTTAAAGCTGATGAAAACCTACTACACAGGTCAGAGTTATGATTAAGGAATGCGCTTGGTCGGATTGAAACTGACATACCATCTATGAGTATTTCATAAAAGCAAACAGTCTAACCACTATCGACAAGACTGTCAGTCTTCAATATTCTTTAACTGATGTACTCGAAGCTGCTTACATAATGAGCTGTGCTTAGGGGTACGTTGTCCGAAAGTTTAAAGCGAAACAAAAGTTGTTTTTATTATTTTCAGCTATCAGAAAACTACGTCATAATTATTTTTTAATTCTTTCGCTGCGACCCGGATTGATCGGTTTAAACTCAGGCTTGATATGCTTGACTGGAGGTCTTTCTGTCGTATTTGACGCCTAAATAAATTGAATACAATTACTATTTAATCTGTCTTGAGTTATGGTATACTCCATATATAATAACAGACACAGTACCAGTTCTGATAATCTTCTAACTGGACATCAAACAGTACCCTACATTGGACCCCGGTTGGCAGATTTACTACGGTTCCTTCTACAACTTACGATGAGTAATCAAGTAATCCAATCATCGCATATAATGCTAAATGGATAAATGATCTCTCTGCTATTGAGAAATTTGAGAGTGATAATTGCGAATTAAGAATAAAAATGGGAAATTTAACAAAGTGAAATTATCAAACTTCAAAAATAAACTGAAGCTTTATTAAACAAATAAAAGGGGTCTATATATACACATTATTTCTGACATTGATCACAGATGGGCTGATGACGGTTTTAGGTAGATTTATCCCAATAATACTCGGATGTAATGATCCCATATAGAAAGGCCATAATGACGTGTCAATAACAATAACAATAACATTCCTTCTTAAAATGCGTATGTGTTGTGGCACAATATTCAAAAGAAAATGTAGTTCTTATTTAAGAATGGCTGTGGCCCGTGAACGTGGCTGATGTAACCTTCATATTTTTTCATATTAATGCTATTATTTAAATGTATGCCTTATACTTGTATGAAGGATGATATAGTATCCAGCCTGTACATAAAGTAAATGATCAGGATTTAACATAAAGTGTCAATAAGAATTATGTTTAGGATTATCAAATGGAAGATTTAAGAAGTGTAGATAAAGTCACATATTAAGTACTGTATATAGTCTCAATCACGACAGCTGGAATATCCGGACATACAACCATAGGCTTACATAATTATATTTTATAAGCTATGTTTCATGTCGTTAATGATTTATATATTAAATACAACAATTCCCAGTCTCTGTAAGTGTTTATTTGATCTAAGCAGAAATTAATTGAAGGAATAATTTAATGGAAGACTTCCAAACCTTTTTTCCCTCGATTTTGATTTTAATTTGAACTTGGCTTAAAGCATTTTCCGATTAAAATCGTTAAGGCTTCCAAAGCGTTTAGACAAAAAGTAATTTCAATTAAACTGCACAATATATTTTTTAATTAATTCGAACTCTATTTTCAAGAACATTTCTTCTGTAGTTCCATGCACCGTAGTATACCGTTTGAATTTGGTTGATACCAATAGGCCTTGTTCGGAAGTTATGCAATCTCCAGACAACAGTAAGCATGTCATTTCTTTCCTGTTTGTGTAATGACAGCTTCGTATGCAGCCTTTCAAACAACTGTTGAAGACATCTTATTCCCCATTCAACGGCTTGTCTATGTTTTGTGATGACTGCGTGCTTCTTTTGGGTTTCGCGATCAGCTCGGTTCAAACCTAATGCATTTCCTTGGGGACGCTTAATACCTTTGATGCGAATTCCCTTTTGCAAGGAAAAGCAGAGTCAGCAAGAATCTTGAAAGGTTCAGGGCATCGACGAGAGAGCAAGTTTCTATATAAAGGTATAGGAATTTGTACGTCATGCCATGAACCAGGACAGTTGTATCTATATATGTAATCAAGCTTATCAGTATTCATTTGTAAACAAAACTGTTTTCATTTTCTACCTGACATAACAAATGCATCCGTCTGGAGTAAAAACGATTACTTGAGAACAAAACAGTCGCCTTTCCATCCATTGTAATAAGCATTTTTCTCCAAAGGATCTTCAGGATGTTGGATCCTAAAGTTGAGTCCATCAATAAAACCAAAAACACCTGTAAGAACTCCTCTTTCGAAATCATTGGTTGTGTTTGACAAAACCATTTTGTTAAACTCGGCCTTTTGGCTTGGAGAGGGCCATCCAATCTTCCATCGTAGATCATTTGGTTTTGATCTAAACACTTTTAAAAGCGTTTCAATACCCATGTTCTTGGATCTACTAATAGTTGCAGTAGGAACACCAAAACGTATGCCCGACGTCTCTTGCTTCATTGTACTATGGAGCCACATCAAAACTAAAGCAAGAACCATTTTGGCATCAAGAACACGAGGCCGTCCAGTTGGACACTCATTAGAATATTGTAGCTTGAACTCTTCATACAAATTTTCGAAAGCTTCCACAATCAATCCTAAATGGCACAGGAAAGATTTGCGATCACGACCATTTGTTAATGCTGTTGCAGCAGATTCGGAAGGTTTACGCAAGCTTCTTGAGTTTATGTAGGATTGGTTTGCAATACGGCGGTTTAACTCCAAATGGTACAGATGGCATATACCAGCAGTAGTTATTAAATTGATATTTTGGTTTTTACTTGACGGCATATTTGTTTATTGTATTAAAGGAAGATATGAAAAAAGGATCTAATAATTAAAAGTAATGTTTATAGTTTAATCGATTTCTGTACCTGTTTTAATATTTGTAACAATATAATTTTTGGAAAGAGTGCTTTGTTTGGGACTGTCTAAAGAGTATTAAGTATTTAAGATATGATTGATATCATATTTACATGTTCTTTTATTATAATTACTTTTATAAATTCACATCAAACAAAACCCAATTATCCATACAAAATAGGAACCAAAAGCGGATCAAACAGATTTTCAGCCATCGAGCAAGTTTTGCTCGAAGCTGTTCAGGATAAGTTACCTACTGGTTCTGATGAATGGGAGCTTGTTAAAGCTGTATTCAAAACGCGAATGGTTAAAATTGCCAGCCAAAATAGAACCGAAAACAATTAAGTGGCCGTACAAGTCACTCAAGACGCTTTTCGGGAGATTAAATAATGCGAAGTCACCTACAGGTATATAAAGATTTAATTGATGATACTTTTACAATTATTAACAATAAGTGCTGATTATCTACTAGGTACTTCAAGTAGAGGACATTTGAGTGTAAAGGCCAGGGAGATTGAAGAGCTGATCAAACTTAAAACGGCTGAAACTAACCTAGGAGGAGTTGATGTTCAATTCGAGGATGATGATGTGGAGACAGAGACTGTGGTTACGGCAGTGGGGGAAAACAACTTTTCGACAATTGAAGAGCAGGCTGTGGAGAATGCAGCTGCTGACGACCAACATGCTTCCTCTCCTCGTTCGGTCTATCGTACGACGCCCATACCAAGAAAAACGAGGGCCGCGCAAGCAAATAATCTGCAAGATTTCACAGACACTTTTGCTCATTACATGTCTGCGGCCATCTTAACCATGGAAGGCCCGAACTCAGAAGACTCTCCTTGTGCCGGCGGTAATGATGTCAATGGAAGTCGTCTGACATCGTTGGAGAGCAGCTTGGAGATGATGAGCGGTCAGGTAACAATTTATACTTTCGCATTAGTTATTATTTAATGAGATTATCTAATTGTATAAATGGAATACGAGAATGATATGATGAGACCTGTTGGTCAAATACTTGCGAAGGTAAGAACAATAAAAGCACTCATTCTTTGTATGATAAAGTTCATAATTTTTTTGAGCTTCGATAAATCCCGCCAAAAAAAGCCAATCTTCTGAGGGTAATAAACAGAATAAGCGCCAAAGAAAAAATAAAAAATTAAAAAAGTTTAAATTTGACCTTAGTAGAGGGGGGGGGCCTCAATAAACTGTTGCTGTAAATTTTTAAATTAAAATCAAGTTAAAAAATGGTTAACTACAGTACCGATGGGTTGATATTGGACACCTCACCACGTGAAGCTTAGTTTATGTCCGTCTTTTAACTTGATTTTAAAGAAATAAATGCGGATTTTAAGTCTAATGTTGAATATATAGTGGCACCTTTTAAATCTTCGAACAAATCACTAATTATAGATAAGGGCATTCGGTCAATTGTTTTTAAAAGACTATTGATATGTCTCGGATTATGACAGACTCGGTACCCTTTTACTTCACCTTTAACATCAGTTTTCTTGACCACAGTTAAGGATGTATTCCATTCTGTATTGGCAGGTGCTTTCTTTATAATACCATTATCCACCCATTCTTTTATTTGTTCATCGACATCTTCCATCATTTTTAAGAGAACAGGTTATGGTTTCTTATAGGCTGTCACATTTGGAGAAGTGTCCAGTGATACAACACTTTCGGGAATAGTACAGAATTATCCTTTTGCAATATTTTGATTGGCAATAATGTATGGTTGAATATAATCCATTATTGATTTAAATTCATCAGGTTCACATGCAGAACAATTTTCTAATAGTTTGTTCTCTGCTTCAATGGATTTAAGGAGTTCACTAGTGTTATTATAACGTCTTTCTGATTCCATCATCTGTCCAATAGAATCATGATTATCAAAGTTTGTTGGTAAGCCATAAATTCTTAAGCCCAGTGACGCCATATACTCAGTGCCAATACTAATATTATAGATATCTTCATCAGTATCGCTTAAATTCATAACTTCAAAAGTGAGTTGAATGGTCTTATTATTAAAGGTAATGCTTAGTGTGCATATTCCGATTCTTTTAATATAACTCTCATTTTCAAATGCCCTTATATAGTATTCATATTTGTTTGTTTTTGTAACTAGATCTTTATGTATATGTTTGATAAAATTTATATTGATTTTACGAGTTAAACAAAAATTATAGAGTGCATCTTCATTGTAATGTGCCAAAACGTAATCTGTGACATTTTTGAGCATTCATCTCCGACTAGTACAAGTAATATAAAAGGAAATTTATTTATAGTCAAATTTTTTTACTGTGGGGTGAAATTCTTGGCCTGGCTGACAAGTCTGGGGGCACTCCGATCACTAACTTTTAATTCTATTGGTCCTGATTTTGAAAAGTAGCCAATAGCTTTACGATTTAGTGTTTCTTTCGATCACTAAGTATGAATCTGATTGGCTAATAAGAAAGACAGGAAAAGCTTAAAATATTATTGAGCAGTAAAGATTTATACGATATAAATACAATAGCATAGTATGGTGTCTTATTCTACGTATATATGCTATTTTCTATTTTAAAATTTTGATAAAAGAGTAACTTGAAATGGGTAACACACATACTATAATTTGAGACATGTTATTATTATGGTAGATTTTCTTTTTGTCTACTTTAATAAACATACTAAGTCTGACATTGACTAGAAGTGATAGGTTTTCTAGACAGGAACATGTTTTCGTCACACATTCACATGTTGTTACTGGCAAGTTTCAGTAAAAGTAATAGAAGAAAATAAAAATAGAGATTAAGATTAAAGTTCTTAAAAAGTGAGCACCAGACTATATAGTTGTCAACTGAAAAAGATAAAATATATTTATATAAGAGGCTAATTTATACGACGAAATCAGATAAGAGTGGTATTCGAAGGAGTATAGTTAAATACGTAATGGAATAGCTACAATGCTGATTTTACAGAAGGAAATTACAAGCAATTATAATAAATACAAAATTACAAAGACTTAAAGTATTAAGACTTATTCAGATTAAAGTAAAGAACAAAACTAAAGATTTTATTAAATAATTTTATGGTCCTTTTATAAGAAAAGGATCAAAAAGCAGTCAAAAAAATTAAAAAAATCTTAAGTCAAAACGACAAAAAGTGCCGTGTAACAATGTTGAGCTGTCTAACTGGGATGAACAGTATGTTATTTTTATATTGTACCTTTTTCCTGACATTGAATTACTTATAAAACTTGGATCTCATGGCGGGGATTAGTTTTGTTTACGTATATACAGGGAGTGCAATTTGTTTTTTCAAAAAACCTCTTTCACAGTTAACTCTATTAAAAATATGGTTACAACAGGAAGACCATCTGGGAGAAAACATCCTGTAGGTCATACCGCCGGTCGACCATCTATCCAAAAAAAAAAGATGACCCTCGACAAACTACTTTGTTTCAAACTATGAAAAAAATCAATCAAAATGGTCAAAGCTCGAGCCAGGCTGATGAGGTAAAACTGGATTTTTTTGCATGATATTTAAATTATTAACAACAATTTATAGGCTGTAGTTGAGGAATCAAGTATGCAAGAAAATGAAATAGATATTTCGGGCAACCGTGAAGAGCAATTACATGTCGTAGAAGATCGGAATATTTTTATCACATTGGATGAAGAAGAAGAACTAAACAACCGTATACTACCTGAAATAGAGGACGGTGATGATGATTAAAGTGTGACTGATGAATAGGAATTCTTGTCGGGCGAAGTTCAAAATGATGTATTGTACCACTATTTTGAAGAAGTACAAAAACGACTAACAGAAGAAGCAATGCCAGCTGAATACAACAATGGCACTTTTTGGATTCATCCCATGCAGCCATTTTTTTGCATTATTAAAAAAGAAGCCAGTAGAGTATTTGTCGCCCAGATATTTTTTTATGGATTCCACATCTGTTATTGCATAATAAGATCAACGATTTGCATTGTCCAACATGCAAGTCACTCAGCGAGACCTAAGGGTTTAACAAAAAACTCCACGCTGGCCGCACTGTTGATCTTGACAGGTCAGTTGGATTTGTGATCCCAATTTTGTAGTTTGAAGTATTGAATTAACCATTGTTGCACTTAATAGATGCTTTTACATCTTGACAAAACGATACAGGTGTCTGAGTAGTATTTGTGGCAGTACGTTTAATGTATATGATTCCAAAATAATGCGCCAATTGCCCGTTCAACTACAGGCTGAATTTCCTGTCTATCTTAGTCATAGAGGTGCTGTTTCGAAGCAAGTGGGTGATCTTTTAAGGCCATGCATCCAAAACTCCATGGGACCTGAAAGAATATCGAAAGTTTTGCGTGAGCTCCAAACATTAAAGCACGATCGCAGTGAGCTGCAATATCTCACTGCTATGAAGGTAGCCATTTTCTTTCTCTTTTTTATATACTTTAATATTGATATCTTTCTGAAGGCTAAATATGGGAATCAAAGCATTGCTCGGTTCTTTACTATGCCAGCACTTATCGAGCCGTTTTCGCCTTTTGATAACCAGAAAGGATACGCAGGTTATACGCCTACTCAAACGTATATTAGGACCATCTTCACTGCAATCATTAGTAAGCTTAGGCCTTACATGGACAAGCAGATGATGCTTCTAGGTGGAAAGGTGTTAAAAGGTGATCATTCGTTCAAGATCATCAAGCACATGGCGAGTGTTAATGGATCTAATATGTTTAATGCGCTGTACACGATCTGTAACGAGTTTGAAGAGATTAGAATGATGTTGTTAGTACGTTCTAAATTACTTGAGCATCTGAAGTGGTCCTTCCAAAAAATGATGCAGGCATACGAAGGTTATGGTCACGACAGTCCTATAATTTTTTATACGGACAATGTGCGAGGTGACCGCAAGTTTTTGGAAAATGTCAGACCTTCTCTGAAAGTTGCTGTATGTCCTGGAAGCAGCAAAGAAGACGATGGTGTCAGTGACAAGTCCGAAACTCCTGCATTGCCTGATAGTGTGTGAATTCAATATTTGCGAGGATATGACGAGATTGAAAATGAAATGAAAAATTTACTGGTCGAATAATTTCATTTTGTAGAAGTCAATGGTGTATTGGAAAGCTGCTCAACATCCGTAGTCACAGGATTTGATTGTGAGTGGCCATACAACATCACCAATAATGCTAAAGGAAAGCTTTCAGTAGTCCAGATTGCCTATGCCTCATCGGTGCTCGTATTACATCAGGATCCTACTTGGAATGTTTTACCATCCTCCTTGATTCACTTTTTAAAATCCCCCGTCATTTTGAAGATTGGGCGTCAATTTGGTGGGGACTTTAAGCCAGTTAAGGATTCTTTCAACATTGAATCTGAGGGGGCCTTTGAACTTGGAAGATTTTGCAAGCTGAAGAAGGTTGTGAAGTCTGGTAGGCTGTATCTTTCGGCCATTTGTAAAGAAGTATTTGGGAGGGGACTGTCTAAAGATTTAAGATAAAATAAGTTTGAGTAGTCGGTCTTTGAAGGTTAGATCAGAAAGAGAGAAATAGGGTTTAGAGTAACTTAATCCTCAGATTATTATTTCAGTTTAAGATAATCGTTTATTGATAAGAATTGGAAGAGTATTTATATTATTTTGATATTTATGAATTAGTAATCGAATAGTACTTTGCCAAGATACTTAGTATATATATAGTGAATATATGAACTAGTGTATAGTATAAGGCAAAGTGTGTTAACTAAAGATCTGTAGTATTCTGGTTGGTCAACCATGAAAGTATTTTCAATGTCCGAGTCTGAACTCACGACAAAGAATCAGTGACTGGTCGTACTCCCATGAGCTCAGCCTAAGCCAATATTATTACGCTGCACTTGACGCATGGGCGGCTTTGCAGATTTATGATACAACAAGTAATATGAACGAAGAAATCATTAATATTCCAGCCGTACGTGAATATGTTTCTTTG